TTGATAAATATAAGAACTGGCTAGATATATAGAGATGGAAAAGTTTATTCTGACCTAATGGTCCCTTTAAGGAGGAAATGAAGAAAATTGTGGAGTAACAAGTTTGGTGATGGGCACACTGACAAATAACAGCATACTGCAAATGTACTTTAGCCATCTTAGGTAAATCAATAATAGCTATGGATAATATGCCACTGGGTTAATGATGAAGATAAAGAAAAAGAATAATCATACGAGTGAGATGGGAATATGTGATACATCATTTACCAAAGTATTAGAGCATGAGATTGAAGACTTAGCAAATATATTATTTCATATTCCCCCAAAATTATCTTTTAAAATTTGTAGCATTAAAAACATTAGAAAACAGGGGCGCTTGGGTGGCTCAGATGGTTAAACATCTGCCTTCCGCTCAGGTCATGATCCCAGGGTCCTGGGATCGAGCCCCACATCGGGCTCCTGGCTCGGCGGGGAGCCTACTTCTCCCTCTCCCACTGCTCATGCTCTCTCTCTCTTTCTGTATCTCTGTGTCTCAAATGAATAAATAAAATCTTACAAAAAAAAAAAACATTAGAAAACAGAAAACTGAATACAGTGATACATGTACTCTCTCTTAACTTTAGAAAGGTACACTAAAAGAAAAAAAATATGAAAAAGATATATCAATGACTCTCTGGCCAAAGGCAATAAGCAGAAATATATCTTAAAAAGGTTGATAGTCTAGGAAACATATAATGATAATAATATAATACAGATAATATTTGAAATGAAGGTGAATGGCAGCTAAAGAAGGAAAGTGGCTGCATAAGAATAATAGAAATATGGAACATTTATCTATATAAAATATATATCCTTGATGTGAAAATGTGTATAAGTGTATGTCTGTGTATATTGTATGCATATTTATATATGTATATATACACATGTATATTTGTGTATGTATATATATGTGTGCATGTGTGTATTAGAACAAACTGTAGTCTTTTTTTTTTTATTAAGGATTTTATTTATTTGACAGAGAGAGAGCAAGAGCAGGAACACAAGGAGAGGGAGTGGGAGAGGAAGAAGCAGGCTTCCTGCCGACCAGGGAGCCCGATGTGGGACTCGATCCCAGGACCCTGGGATCATGACCTGAGCTGAAGGCAGACATTTAACAAATGAGCCACCCAGGCGCCCAGAACAAACTGTAGTCTTGATAAAATAATAAATTCATGTCAGTTTGAAAGAATGCAATTAGCATCCCATTATTGGAGTTACATACAGAGAGACTGCAACAAAATAGCAAGATGTTAAACAGCAATACAACTATCCAGTGATTTAATGGGATGGTTTGCTTATCCAAGAGAGGGTTTCAGCAGATGCTGAGTGAATAAATGGAAAGACTATCATATAGTGACCTCTAACAGTATGTGGATGGCTGAACTAAAAATTTCCAGTTCCTTTTTATTCCTAAAAGACTATCATATTCAATCCACTTCTCGTGAGATCTCCTTTCAGCCATCCTTTATCCCACTGATCATATAAGTCTCTAAGACTTTTGTTTTCCAATTTGTTCAACTGATTATTTCAATTTTTACCCATATCTAGATATTCATGACTTCTCGGTCTCAACATTCATGACTTTCTTCTCCCTCTTTGCTTAATAAATGGCATTTATTTTTCCATCCTTCTTTTGTTGGCTACGTAACATAGCTAATCAAATGAAGTTGCATTTTGCTACCAATACTTACTTGGTACTCTTGCGATTAAAATGAATACTTTATTATTATATTAATCTTCAATTTTCAAATATAGAACTAACTTACTTAGGACGAATACTTGGCCCAAGAAAAGAATATCACCTTAGCAGAATGCCTAGATTCAACAGATCTGCTAGACTAGTCCATTTATATTGAACCACATAGCTATTATGCCAACCAACAACAACCAACAACAACAACAAAAACACGTAATTGGGTTATACTGATCTTGAGAGAGTGGAGTTTGGCAACCTCTTTCTTCAATTCATTCCTACACTTACTAACTCCCATAGACAGGAAATTGTGGTGTATATCGGTCCTAAGCCTTTCACCCTATAGTATAAACTAATTTCCTTTTTCTTGATTCTCTGCACCTGAGTATCCAATAGCTGTGTGATTTTATTTTCCACAAAATAAAAAGCAGAATAAGGTCATATCAACCACACAGATCATGTATAATACTAGTCATAATGATGGATTTCAAGAAGCATCATAAAACAGGTTGGCAGCTACCCTTGCTGTGCTAAAAACAAAATATTTTGATAACAGTAATGTTCCCAGTTTGCTGAAATAAAAGATGTTAACAGCCTCATATTTCCATGGACTGGATGGAAACAGTTATAATGAAAGAGAAATACATTTTGTATAAATCAATAATACTCCCCAAACAATTTATACATCATTTACTAATTCTTATGATAGTATGGCGAATGGTTTCTGGTATTCACTGTAGGGATAGATGCAATCATAATGCACCAGTGAAAACATAAAATTGATTTCATTACTGCTCTAATGTAAGAGGATTACAAATTATTTCACACTTTTCAAATTCATACAACTTAATCTGGTGTGTAGTATTCAGAACTACTAAACTCAGCAACTATTTAATTCAGAATTTCTCTGAACAATTATGAATTACTGCATTGAAATGGAGAGTATACAACCTTACAAAGATTATCTTGACACAATAATTACTTCATCTTTCCATTTATTTCACTTACATACAAATAGCTTACATGGCTAAAGAATAACCTTCTATTTTTTGATTATTAAAAAGTAACAATGTGATTAAAAAAAGAAAGATATGCTCAAAATTAAAGAAATAAACACCAAAACTCCTATGGAAATAAACTCCTTTTCATTATCCCCAGGAATATGTTGACATTTACATTTTGGTCAGCTGAGGTTCAAATTGGATAGCTCCATAGGTGACAGAAACCCTGAGGCCTGCATGGATCCTGAGGACAAAGGTTTCAATTATTTCCCTTGAATTGGCTTATGCAGCCTTGACCTCAGCATGAGGCAAGGTATTGGGAGCCCAATGCATGCAGGCATGTAATTATGCATTTAAGTTTATCTTCTTAATTAATTTAAATATGCTTGAGAAACTTACAGGGATTGAATCTGAAAATTTCCATGGCCTGGTCACTGGATAGAATCAAGGCTCCTGAAGTGAGAGAGTCGATCACAACTTTCATGAGCTTTAGAAAGAAGCTCTTTGGTAGAGGTAATCAAATGCTTGAAATTTCAAATCTTGGAGAAAATTATACTCTTTATCTCTTTCACAGTGATTTTTGTTTGTTTTGTTTTGTTAAGAAAAATGAGGTTTAAAAAGTTGCTGTCAGCAACTGCTAATCTGGCTGATATTCAAAAACATATAAAAGAATCTTCAGCCCCTAATATGTGGTAAATGAATCATTAATGAAGCCCAGACATTAGTAAGGGAAGGTAGGAACAGAGCTCAGAACTAAAAGACTAGGAGTAACATTAATGTAATCTGTGCCAAAATATTCTCAATGAAGGTGGGGAGGGGAACTGAGCCAACTCTTAGGACAAAAGAATGGTTCAGATGTATTACTAGGGTGTCTCTTAAAGCAATAATTTGCCTAGTAGCACCCAACTCCACCTCTAGCCACCCACACACAGGCTCACAAACCTTGATCAGTGACCCTGAACACATATCCATCGCTAAGGATATAGTTATTTTCTCTAATCCTGGAACATACTGAGTTCTGCTCAACTTTTCTTTGCCTTTCATTTCTTTTTTGATGAATACCCTTCAAAATTTGCACTGTATCAGAGAAATGGAGCCCTTGCTCAGCTCATTTTTCTCCATGAGCATATGCTCTTCTATCATGATTTGCACAGTTATAGTTTTTCCTCTCAGGAAGATAGGCCACCTGCTCTCCCAGGGTTCTTCTGCACACAACCAAAGTGCACTACACAAAGGACAGATGCTGGGCTCATTTTCCTTTTGAGATTCTGTTCCAAGTTAGAATTACATGCTAGTGAATTCAGAAAGAAACTACCCTTGCTAAATCAATACACAGCAGAGTTAAAAAAAAAAAAAAAAGCAGCCCAATATACAAAGATCAGTGAAGTTAAACAGCCAGCTTTACAATTGCCCCTGAGGATGCAGAGTTCTAAAGAATAATAGCAGTATGGTCAGCAAGTGTAAGATACCTGCTCGAATGTGAAGATATCTGAGGTGTTTAAGCAAAGGCAGAAAGCTTTAAAGGCAGAGGAGAGAAATTTAAGAATTTAGCCAGAAAATATGAAGTGAGCTAAACTAAACTTTGCTGATGCAGCTGATTTTTCCCAGATGAGTCAGGCTCATAGCTTTATTGTACACATTCAGTAAATTAAAGCAAAATTCATCAATGAGCTATATAATTATTTTGCTATTAAAATATTACTTTTCACGAAAGAGTGATTTAATTTCTGATGTATCTTATATTTACCATGTCAGTGCTCCATATGGTGACAATTATAGACATTGGTCCATGTGGCTCATGAGAAATTCCAGGGTTTAGATTTGATCATGCAGTTTGTTACACAGAAAGCATATAGAGGGAGGTAGATACTCTACGTAAAGTATTTTAAAGGTACTCGTGATATCTACTATTAATTTTAACATAAAATATCATCTCTAAAAATATAGACTTGTTTTCTAGATTACCAGGTTTAGCAAGCAATAGTTCACACGTATAGGTTAAATTTTTCTAACTTGCTAATGAATCGGTATCCCGTGCTATCTCATGATCTCAATTTCCCACACTTAAAGGACAGGTGGTAATATCATATCTCTGTCATGGATACATATTGAATGCAGTCTTAAAATAATATATGACAGTCTTTGGAATTTCAAGACACAACCTTGTAAAGCTTAAGATAAATAAGTTTCAATTAAAAAATGAAAATAACAGCGCTCTATCATCTTTGAACCAAAAGCAGTAGATATAAAGTCATGGTGGTACTTACCACAGTGAAATTCATCACTTTCAATATCCATATTGTCATGGCTAAGTTAACTATCATGGTCACCAACAGCAGAAGGACAAAGAAGTATAAGCACCTCTTTCGCCATCCATAAATCCCCACCGGGTAAAGCTGTGCATTCTCAGCCCTTGGCAGGTTGTTCTGTGGTGTTGCTAGTATATATTGTTCTCGTGTCATCTGGAAAAAAAAAAAAGGAAGAAAAGAAAAGAAAGAAAAGAAGCATTCAAAACTAAAACTGATGATTTTTTTAAATCAAAAGACACAATATACCTATGAATAATGTGTAATGAGTGTTCAAAGAATTATTGCTGTATAATTAAAACTAAAATTGATTAAAATCTCACAAAGCCCCTCACATCACATCATCAGTGCTGCTTTTTAGAGCTGTTTAACTAACTATAATATTTCTAGGATGTATATTATTTTCAGTCAGATTTGCCCAATTATAACATTAGCTTTTTTTTACGGAGACTCGGAAGACGCTCATCTCTACTCCCAGGTGTCTATAACCTAAAATTCTATGCACATCCCAGCTACTCTTTTTTTTTTTTTTAAAGATTTTATTTATTTATTTGAGACAGAGAGAATGAGAAACAGAGAGCATGAGAGGGAGGAGGGTCAGAGGGAGAAGCAGACTCCCTGCCAAGCAGGGAGCCCGATGCGGGACTCGATCCAGGGACTCCAGGATCATGA